GGAGGTAAATATCAAAAGAACTAAGAGTTGTGCTTTCCTCTGGTGAATAAGTATAGAGAAGCAAAGGAATAGAGCATCACTGCTATGTTTTAGAAGCTGTGTCAAAAAAAAAAATCTAGTGGCTCCTATAATTTCTATTCTTGTTTTTTTCCTTATCAACAAAATCACAGGCATGACTCGATCAAGAAAATACAAAAATTTGAAAAATGCTTCCTAACATGCTGTTCAGGTGGGAAAGAAGTTGGAGAAGTCACTGCATATGATTTAGGGCAGGCTCGTTCTACATTATCCCACAGAGACTCCCTGTTCCTGACACAACAAAATCAGGTATGATGGCTGGAACTTCACCAGTTAGATGAAATTATGAAACAAATTCTGGATAGAAAGATAAGGGTGACTGATAAGAAAGAGCAAATTATTGTATAATAATGAAAAGGGAATCATACCATCCCTGAATTATCCCAACTTTTTATCTGAGAAATAAATGCATACCTTATTTAAGCCCCATAAGTCAGGTCTCTATTAGCAGCAAAATGCAATCCCTGATATTTAGGCTGTGTTTGACTTCTAAAACTATGCAGATTAATAAAATTCAACTAAAAGATATTTCTAACTAATAGCAAAAACAGTAAAAATATATTATATACTCTGAAATTCTTCATAGGGCTGAAAATATGTACATTCTATACCAAGACCAAGAGATAAAGACTGTTTCTTTTTAAACAATTAATTTGAACTCTCTAAAGAGTCATTAGCATGTACTTCATAAAAACAATGAAGTAAATCTTTTGTTAAAATTGTCTGTAGCCTTAGTTGCTTAAAAATTGTTTAAGAAGCATTAAATACTTTTTGTCACATACAATATTACACATGTAAAGTACTACAGTCCTAAAGCAAAAGGATAGCAAGGTTTCTCAACCTAAGCCCTATTCATATTTTAAACCAGATTTGTTGTTGGGGCTATCTTGTACATTAAAAGATTTTCAGCAGTATCTTTGGCCTCTATCCACTAGCTACCAATTATGACAATCAAAAATATTTAGAAACCTCAGAATATGCTTCCCCAGAATCTATGAAAATACTCGCCATAGAGAAAATATAGTTGTTTTGCAAATCGTTGTACTTCACCAGGAGCACTGGGTAATAAACACAATTTTAAAAATGTAAAATTTTAAACTGTAATCTTTATTGTAGGATACAAACTATAAACTACAGACTGGGTTATCTCTAACATCCCTCTTAAACCTTCAGGGGATTTCACATGACAGAAATATTAATAGCCTCTGTACTTAATACTGTCTGTGCTAGGTACAGTACCAAGTACTGTATGTTCAATCTCTTTTTATACTATGATATCCTCATGGGATGGCTATTAAGCACAGTGTAATAAAAAAATAATTTTAAAGTCTACTTTAATTAACATATCAAAGTGTTTCCAAACACACTTATTGTTCGCTGCACTGTCGTACCAAAATTAAGGATGTACCTTAAATTGTTTAATTTATAATTTATGATCAAAATTATTTTTTCAATATATTTGATACCAAAATAAATTTAATTTTAATGACTTTCAGGAATTAGGAAAATTTTCATAGCAATTAAAAAGGCAGAGACAATAATATTCCCTGAAATATTTCTTTACCACTGTGGCAGAATGAAAGAGTACTTTTTTAACTTTACCCATGATTTCTTGAGTTATTTCAAGAACTTTTCTTGATCCCTTTGCAACAACTTCCCCCAAAAAGAAAATTCACTTTAAATTTATTTGAGGACGTATTTATAATTTCAATCTGTCTTTCACTAGATATTGAAGGCTGGGTTCAAATTCCAGTTTGTAGTCAGATGTAATGGTAAAGTCCAGCACTCGGGATGAGGCAGGAAGATCTCAAGTTCAAGGCTTGCCTGAGCAATTCGGCAACTTATAAAGACTCTTTCTCAAAAATAAAAAAACAAAAAAGGGCTGGAGATGTAGATCAGTGTGAAAGCCCTGGGTTAAATCCCGCAGCACAAACAAGAAAAAAATCCTAACTTGTCCACTTACTGGAACCTAAGTAAATTTTTTCAGGCCATCAACTTCAGCAATGCAGCTTGCTTTGTGAAGGTTAAGATTAATAGGCTTTCAATAAAAGTTACTTTCCCCTGCCTTTCATCATTAAAGTAAATAAATTATTAGTTAAGGGCCAATTCTATTTAAGGGTTGTTGAGAATCTACTGAAAAGGACCAAAGGAGTATATAATACAGTCCAACATCACACTGTCTTGTTTTACTTTTCTTTACAATAAAAGATACAAGAACCTCTCTTCAAAAGTATTCCTTCCTCTCTCCTTTAACGCATACACCTGTCAAGAATTTTTTTTTAATTTTTATTTATTAGTACATGTTTGCAATTCACACAGCCTACAATCTTCCTAGGGAGTGCTTACATTTACATATCACAGCTTGTTTTTTCTTTCTCTAATCCCTCCACTTCTCCTCCTTCCCTGATTCCCTATCACCTTACATACTTATTTGATATTTTCTGCTTAGGTCAGGTTACAGCATATAATATTTACAATGATCAGGGTTATTAGGATCCTATACAGAGTACATCTTTATCAGGCACCATATTCTGCCAAGAAATTTTGATTCGTATTTCCCTATAAAAGGAGGAAGACACACTGGAGCCTTTCTTAACACCAGGATCCTGCATATGTAATTCATATATTTGGTTAACAATCACCCAAGTGCCTACTACCCATTTTAAGGATTACTCATGATTAAGTCATCTATTAATGAATGCAAGTTATTTAATACTACCCTCAGTAAATATTAGAAAACCAAATCTTTAAAAAGAAATAATTTTGAGGAATTAGGCTATATAATCTACCGTTTCCCTTACTGCCAAATAAAACAGAATTGTTATAGTAGCACTTAATTACTCAGTAGATAAAATCCCACTTAGTACAGGTGACTCGTTTAGTCTATCTAAAGATTTACACATAAAACATAACTTCACAAAGCTCATCTGCAAGGTGGAACCAAACAGGAACTAAAGAAAGTATCTATTGGTAATCTAGAGTATTAGAAAGTAACAAAATTTTATGTAAAGTTGATAACATGAAAATGTATCATAATTTAACAATATGTAATACAGGTCCATTCAGTTCTTCCCATTTAGTTTTATTTCCTGGGATATTCAGGAGCTAGGAGAAATTTTTAAAATGATTATTTCACTTGTTCTTAAATCTTACTGTCAATTTTTACTATTTTACTGTCAATGATTAGACACTTTTTCACAAGCTAAATTTATTTAGCCTTAAAGTTGATTTCAAGAAACAAAATAGAATAGTTAAAAGTTCTCTCCAGAAATGTTCTGGCATGCAAATAACATTTCACATTCTTCAGCAATTAAAGGTTATTTGACGAAACAATAAAAGTAATGTAGCCAAAACCAGGCTAAGAGTATAGCTATTAAAACATTCAAAACATGAATCATGTCCACATTTTTGGAAGTTTAAATTTTCCATAGATAAAAGTTACCAATAGCATGGCTTCTAGATGTAAAATGTATAGTTAGAAAGCAAGTGTTTTAAAAACAAGACTGAACTTCTAAACTGAGTGAATGTACTTGTCAAAATAAAATTACATCTTCAAGAAAGTCACTAGAGAGCAATGTCAAAGAAACGGGTGTACCCTTTAATACCAAGATGATTTCAGCCTTCAAAACAATTTATCTGTGGCTGTGGGGGGAAAAATAATGAAATCAAAATTTAAACTTAAGCACTGAAATTGTCAATTTCAGCCTTCTGCTTTCTTGTTAGCATTATTTCATATTTCTACCTGAGTGAAGCTAATAGCTAACTGATCCTAACCCATTACATACCTACTCTTATAACTGCTATCCCTAACTGATGGAAGAGGAAACTGAGGCACAAGAAGATAAGTAACTTACACAAAGTAAGCAATTAAAAAGTGGTAGAGCCAGGATTTGAACCCTATACATCCAAATCAATAAATTTTAAAGAAAGTAAGATGAAAAGAAATCATTATTATTTTTTCCAAAGCGGCTTGCAAAACAAGTGTTGTGAATGAGAACAAACATCTAAATCATAAATGATAAGAGTACGGATTACAAAACTTTACCCCTAAACAAGTAGGTTGGCTGGTACGATATTTGATTACAGTCAAAGTCTAGACTGCGTCCAATCCGAATGGGAAATAATGTACCCTCGCTGTTTGGACCCTGCATTTTACAAGCTAAACAAAATATTGTAATTTAAAGAATGAGAAGGGTGATGATGTAACTGAAGAAGTTTTAAGCAAAAGGACGTCCAAGAACAGTTAATTAGGAGAATGCGTATGTCAAGAGGGAAGAGGGTAAAGGAGGAAAGTTGACCATCACACTCCCTGAAGGCTCCACCCTTGAAAGAAAAAGTAAACCACCCTGGGTCAGCGCCAAAGCCAACTATAAAACTGGCTCAGCGGGATCTTATGAGGGGATGACAGGAGACCCCAGCAGAGGGGGAGGGGTGACGATGACAGGAGAGGAGGCACTAGAGAGATGGCATGTCTCCCATCTCCGAAAAGAACGCGGGGTGCAAGGGACAAGAGGGAAGGAAGAAAATGTTTTTGTTTTTACCAGAGGTTCCAAATGACGTGACAAGGAACTGGGTAGGAAACCTAAGAAAGGCGGGACCCTCGGGCAGGAAGGGGTCTGTCTGGGGCAGAGGAGGCATGTCAAGACAGAGCTTTCCGGTTAACTAACCCTCCTTCTCACCAGCCCCTCCACCGCGACAAACTCACTTTCTCAGCAACCCTATGCGGTCAGGTCAACCCGGTCCCGTCCCGACCCCCACCCCAAGCGGGATAGGTGCAGGCGGGGGGATGGGGCTCACCTCACCCTCTGCATTGGGCTGGAGAAGCGGGCTGCGGACACAGCCCAGCTCAGTGGGCCTGAAGGCCAACCGACGCAGAGGCCCAGGACCCGGGTGACAAGTCGGGCGGCCGATGGGTGCCTCACCTGACAGAAGCGCCGGCAGTAATCCCGACTGCTGATCCCGACTCCGTCGCCGCCGCCGCAGATGCCGTCGTCAGCGCTACCTCTGCTGTCGCCCGAAGCTCCGATACCTACAGGGCCGGGTGGAGACTCCACAATGGCCACGAGCTCTTCTCCGAGGCGCTCGGCCTCTTGGTCGCTCTCTTCCTCCGCCATGAGGCTCTCGCAGCCCAGCGCGTACCAGCCCCTGCGCCGCCGCCGCCGTAGCTGCCTCGGCTAACCTCCTCCTCCTCTAGTTCCCTCCCCCTTTCCTCCGCCCCAGCCGGGCAGGGGGCCACTCGGCGGGGCCCTAGTTCCGGCTCCGCCTACCCACGCCCCCAGCTGGAATTGGGTATAAACAACTGCCAATCATTTTTATGCCCGCCCTTCCACTGCTATTGGTTAAGTGGGCCATCCGTTTGCTTGACTCACCATCTGTTGGTCAAAACTACACGGTGGCTGCTGGGGATCGCCTACGGGTTCTACCATAGGCGGCGCAGGAGGACGGGGCGCGGCGGGG